ACTGTGGTCGCATTTTGGAGCACATAGTAAATATTTGATTACTTAAAAAAATTTCCATCTCAAATGTTTAGTTTCTATTTGAAACAGTGAAAAAAATTTCTTCTTGTTTTGGAATAATACAATAACTTAATCACAAACACTTGAAAACCTGTTTCAGCTCTTATCAACTTTTCCCACAGCCTTCTCCCCTCTATTCTCTCAAAATTCAGTTAACTATGCTTTTACTCTAAATTTATATTAACATTAATTTCTAAAAATACTTTTTTCCTATTCCCCTATTCTCCCACTCTGCTCCTGATCCAGCTGGGACCTCCCATTCCCCTAAGTTCTTTTTCTTACTGAATTATGGCAAACACTGAAACCAAGGGAAGATTCACTGCTGGCTCCACATAACAGTTAGTCTTACCCTCTCTTCAGGTCACAGAGAGTTTGGGGGCGGGGTGGTGACAGTTCATGGCTGGTAGGTCAATGTTATTCCAGAAGGTAAATATGCAGACACGCAAAGGGGACGGGGCAATGGAGTGTTATCACGACTGGCTCAGTACTAGTTTAGAGTCCAAGGCATTGACTTTTCGCCTTCTTCTAAATTATCCACTGCTCCTGACTAAATACAGGGAAGTAGATGGGATGGAGAAAATCATTGATTCTTACATTCTTTTTATTATTTTTTTATTTTAAGAAATTTTCTTTCCTTTTACATACCAACCCCTGTTCCCCCTCCCTCCCATTCTCTCACTGCTCCTCACCCAACCATCCTACACAAATCCCTTCCTCATAGGGGATAAGGCCTCCCTTAAGTAGTTAACATAGGCTAGCATGCCACATTGGGGCCGGACCTAGCCCCTATGCCCTGCCTCAAGGCTGAGTAAGGCATCTCACCATAGGAAATGAGCTCTAAATTTCTAGCTTATGTACCCAGGATAAGTGCTGGTCCCATTGCCAGGGAACCCACAAACTCATCAAGCCACACAACTTTCACTAACATTAAGAAGGCCTAGTGTGGTCCCATGAAGGATCCCCAACTCTCAATCCAGATTCCATGAGCTCCCACTGGCTTGAGTCTACTATCTCTATGGTTTTTCCTGTCATGCTCCTGACCTCCACTTGCTCCTAAAATACTTCTTCCCTCTCTTCAACTGAACTCCAGAATCTTGGCCAAGAGCTTGGCTGTGGGTCTCTGCATCTGCTTCCATCAGTCACTGGATGTAGGTTCTATGATGACAATTAGGGTAGATACCAATCAGAGTGCAGGGGAAGGCTAGTTCACACATCTTCACCATTGCTATGAGTCTTAGCTGGGGACAATCTTGTGAATTCTTGAGGT